ACCTAGAGGTGGATCTCCTATCATCAACACTCCTAACCCAATCAACATCTATATAGACTTCTATTTTCATGTAACCATTATCTTTGAAGAGTATGACTCTGCCTGGAATCTCTTTAGATAAGCAAGGATCTTCTCAACTACAAGAAGATGAGTGGTTCTGGGGGAATGCATATATTGACTAACAATACTAACTGCATAAGAAATGTCTGGTTGTGTGAGGCAAAGATAAAGGAGTTTCCCAACCAATCGTTGAAACGTAACATTGTCTTCAAGGGGTTCTCCTCCTTTTGCACTTATCTTATGATTTTGTTCAATGGGTGTGTCAGTAGGTTTAACACCCAGATTCCTAGTTTCTTGCAAAAGGTCGAGAACATACTTCCTTTGAGAAGCAAAAATCCCATATTTAGACCGTGCTACCTCAATGCCCAAGAAATACCGTAATTCCCCCAAATCTTTGACCTCAAACTCTTGGTGAAGCAATTGCTTAAGAGAGTAAATCTTACGGGTATCACTCTCCGTCACCACAATATCATCCACATATACAACAAGTAGGGTTAAGGAGGAATCCTTTCTCTTAATGAAAAGGGTATGATCTGGTTGAGTTTGAACATAGCCAAATTTTTCAAGGGCCTATCTAGATTTGTCAAACCATGCTCTTGGAAATTGTTTCAGTCCATATAAGGTTTTATTCAGCTGGCAGACCTTCTTCCTTGCTTCTGTACTATAGAATCCAGGAGGTAACTTCATATATACCTCCTCTTGCAAATCACCATTAAGGAAGGCATTTTTGGCATCCATCTAAAACAATGGCCATGAGAAATTTTTTGCAAGGGACAGGAAAACTTTGATAGTATTCATCTTGGCCACTGGTGCAAAAGTCTCCAAATAGTTTATGCCATATGTCTGTGTAAGCCCCTTGGCAACTAATCTAGCCTTATATCTTTCAATAGAGCCATCAGCATTATGTTTCACTGTAAACATCCATTTGTACCCAACCGGTTTCTTTCCTTTAGGTTGCTTAACTAACTCCCATGTATTGTTCTTTAGAAGAGCATTCACCTCTACCTTTATTGCATCTTTCCACTTAGGTACTAACAAGGCTTCCTGCACTGTTCTGGGAATGGGAATAGCAGCAATAGAGGCCAAAAAAGACTTGTAAGATGGGGACAAATGATCATAAGATAGAAACTAAGAAATACAATGGGTTGTAGATGAGGTACAACGACGCTTTCCTTTACAGGCTGCAATTAGAAGATCAAGATCATCCAAAGGAGGAAGAGAAGGCTCAACAATGGGAGGTATCTCATCTGTAGTGGAAGATAAAGGAACTATGGTACTTGGATTTGGAGCCGTAAAGGAAATCGGAGTTGGCCTAGACTGCTAATGATCAAAATCAACCTGCCTCCACCACCTGTGATACACCCTCAAATCCTGACATCTTTGACAACTCTCTTCACTACACTCCCCTTCAGTGATTGGGACAAGTAATGGAATTTTTGATGAACATGACCCCATTTCACTACTCTTCCCCTTAGAAGAAACTCTACGGTAATAGGGTACATTCTCGAAGAACGTAACATCCATAGACACAAACTGTTTCCTAGAAATAGGTTCATAGCAGCAATATCCTTTTTGATTTTGTGCATACCTAAGAAAAATACATTCTAAGGCTTTAGGATCAAATTTATAGAGATGAGGCCCAAGAATCTGAACAAAGCAAGTACATCCAAAGGTCTTAAGGGGAATAGTAAACATGTCCTTATCGAGATATAATAGGTTAAATGGAATTTTCATGTCCATGGCCCGTGAAGGAACTTGGTTGATGAGGTACACAGTAGTATGGATAAGATCCTTCTGGCCACCTCCAATATATGCCTATTTTTCCTCTCAGCAACCCCATTTTGTTGAGGTGTACAAGGACAAGTGCTTTGATGGATAACCACATGGTCAAGGAAGTATGAAGTCAATGGTTTTGCAAAGTATTCTTTGGCATTACCAGATCTGAAGACTTTGATTTTGACTCCAAATTGGGTCAAAACCATCTGATGGAAAATTCGAGCCAGGGTAAGGACCTCATCTCGAAAGCGCATAAAATAAACCCATGAGAAACAAATGTAGTCATCAACAAATAGCAGGAAATATCTGTATCCCCCCATGGCAATGATGTGATATCAAATATCAGTATGCACAATTTCAAAAAGAACACTACTTCTTTTATTGCTCAAAGAATAGGTTGTTCTACAATCCTTTGCAAGTTCACAACTTTCACACTTTAAACTAGACACTTGGACCGACTCAAACAAACTGGGAAATAAGCTCTTCAAAGACCTGAATGTCAAATGACCTAACCAATTATGCTAGAGCATAACCTGACTCACAGACTAAGAAACTAATGACCTCCCCACTTCTTTATCTTCCCCATGTGAATGCCCTCCAAGCAGATAGATTCCATTCGTCTCACGACCAATCCCAATCACCTTCCTTGTCTCCAGATCTTGAAAAACACACCGATTAGGAAAGGAAATCATTGAGCAATTTTGATTTTTAGTAATGCTAATAACTGAAAGTAGGCTAGTACTAAGTTTAGGAACATGCAAAACCAAGGACAAGGAGATGGCATTATATAGTCTAATGTCTCTCTTGCTAGAGATGGGAACAAGGGATCCATCAGCAATAGACACTTTGTCTCTACCAAAGGATAAGCAATAAGTAGTAAACAATGAGAATAAGCCAATCATATGGTCAGATGCACCTGAATCTATAACCCAACACGGTCCATTGTTACCTGGGGCTGAAGCATGATATGCTGAAGCTCTTGTACCTGAATGAGCGGATGCTGAAGTGGGAATAGCTGATGTTGTAGCAAGTAACTGGGATGAGGGGGCTGAAGTGCCAACTTCACTTTCCAGCTGAGTTAGAGCAGCTCAAACAACAGCTAAAGTGTTTAGAGATGTGGCTCTTGTGCTCGAGGATGATACACCATCAGTAGTAATTGCCACATTAGCATTCCACTTTTTGTTTCTGAGCTTTGCTGGAATTAGATGTGGATACAACTTCCAACAAGTGTCCCTTGTGTGCTTCGGTTTCTTGCAATGATCACAAATTACTTCCCTCTTGTCTTCTTTCTTCATATCCCTCTCCTTGTCACACCCAAACTTTGGTTTCATTACTGCTAGGGCTGATTCCATAGGCTGATATTGTAGCATAACCTTTCTCCTACTTTCTTCACTGTGCACTAAGGAATAGGCCTGAGACAAGGTCACACTCTCCCTAGTAAGAAGTTGTTGCCTCACAATATCATATTCCGGATTCAAACTAGCTAGAAATTCAAAAATTCTATTGGTTTCAACCTGCTTTCTGTATGTTTGTGCATCCTTCTAACTTTCCCACTCAATTGTCTCTAGGTGATCAATTTCATGCCACAAAGACTTCAAAGTAGGGAAATAAACTAAGACCGGTTTTTCTCCCTACTTAAGATTATTGACTTCACACTTCAACTCGTAGGCCCTAGCAACATTAAGTGGCTGGGAATAAGTTTCTCTCATGATGTCCCAAATTTCCTTAGCAGTTTTGGTCCACAAATAATTTCGGTTGATATGAGGCTGCATGGAACTGCACAGCCAAGTCATGACCAAATAGTTCTCCAGAACCCATTTGGCATATAATGGGTCTTCCTTGGCTGGTTTTTTACATCCCCCATCACATAGCCTAATTTTCCTCTTCCCCCAATAGCCATCATAGCTGATTGAGCCCATTCCAAGTAATTGATCCATCAAATTTGACAGTGGTAATCTGAAAATTATTTTCAGTCATGTTTCCAACCCCCAACACACCTTCCCCTTGGGTCTTTAACTCAGTGTTTGTCATCTCTATCAAGGAATTTATCAAAAAAAATACTTCCTCTTATTATGAAATAAAGGTAATTATCACCCAGAAATTGCTAACAGCAAACTTAGACTGCTGAAAAAGGTCTAGCAAACACCCAAAAATCTTGAAACAGATCTAACAATTTCTCAAAAGTAATTATCAGTCAATCTGAATGCTAAAACAGACCTAACTGTTACCCAGAAATCAATAACAGTCAGGATGTTAGGGTTTAACCAACTAGAACTGACCGTAGGTTTGAGAAAAACCTAAAGAAAGTCCAGAGAAATTAAAAGAAAAACCAGCTGCACCTTCCAGATCACTCTAAACACCTTCTGGTGGCCGTTGATCTCAAAAAGAAACTGAGACTTACCCAAAACAGCCTGGCCGCCACTTCCAATCCTTGGCTGAACCCAAATCTTGAAAATCTTTCCTTCCCTCTGATTCTTCCTGATCACCAAACCCTTTCCAAGGCTCTACAACTTCTTGAAAAGCTGTTGCACTCAATCAGTGATCTCCAAGAACCAGCCGATGGACTATTCTTGCTAAAGCTTCCAACCCTAGGAAGTTCTCATTCAGTCAACCTGATCATACTCACATGAGAAACCCTAGGTTGGCTCTATTACCAACTTGTGCTGTAGAGACTGTAATCAGTCCTACTGTAGATGAGGATTCAGCAAGAGAAAGTTCAGAAAATAGAAGGGAAAGAAGAGAGAGAGAGAGAGAAAGAGAGAGAGAGAAAGGAGAAGAAGAAGAAGAGAGAAATCGTGGAGAGGGTATTTCAGAAAAAAGAGTGTGGGTCAGTTAATGATTGTTGCCCCACTCAGTTGCTATTTATATTAATACTTAAAACATAGTAGACTTACAATATTGCCCCTACTGTTAACACAAATAAACAGCAGCTAACATAACTGAAATAACTAACTTTCTAACACTACTAACATGCTAACAGCAACATAAATAACATGCTAACTAACTCTACATATCCAAACCCAAGCCCATATCAGAAGCCCAAGCCTAGCCCCAGGCGGGCCTAAGCCAAATTCTACACCCAAACCTTGTATCCAAACTCATTTCCAGAGCAATTTGCTGGCCAATGTACCTAGAAAGTAAACTTCACTAGTAGGGTTGTGAAGTGGCCAAGACAACCAAAAAAATAAAATAAAATAAAGAACTTGCAGAACGTAAGGTTGTTTAAGGCACAACATCAAGAAACATGGAAACATCTAGTTCATGGTTTGAGAAAATGGAAGAATGAACGACAAACTTAAAGTTTTTTCCTATGTTGATTAGCATTAGCATTTAGTGGTACAAGTTCTTCCAGGATATTATATGGTGGTATGTCAATGATCTTGCATTAGAGTCTTAAGATGAGACCTTCAAAACTGAAAAATCCAGGCTGGGTGACTCAGCTATAACAAGCCTTGACCTTGTGCATTCAAAACAGTTTTATGCTACCCCCTTCATTCGACTTCACTGCATCAACTCATTCTATTAAGGGCTTTTTTCGAAAAGACAATGTGATTGTGCAGGTCTATATGTGTTTGTGTATGTATGAGAGTGAGAGATAAGTCTGAGGCACCCTAGATGCAAGCTTAATTTAGCCCCTCACCCTTTTGCTCACTACAGTAGAAACCACGGAGGAAAAGTGTTAAAAAATAAAAAGAAAATATGCAAGGAAAGAAGAAAAACAGAATCTGAATGAATGACAAAAACATAACTAACAATGAAGAGAAACAAAATTGGGCCTAAAAATATCTAACTGAAATTAATTAGACACTAATTCAAATGGAATCCAAAGACCAAAACAATGGCAACAAAAGAAGTACAAACCTTAGAAAAAAATCAGAATCCCAAAATAGTGGCCAAAGAAATAACAAGCATTCGAGTCTATATTCAATGTTTTAGCATCCTATTCTAAGGGAACCCAGAGTACATATACTATTAGAAAGAGTGTCTAATGTTTTGTGACTTGTGAATATGGGCATGTATGTGTATATAGAGAAATTATGGGAAATACAAGCATGAGCTGCTGCTCAAGTTTAGAACCAGAGGGTAGGTGTTTTCGTGGCATGGACTCTAATTCCATGTGCAAGGATGGTTTTCCCTATATCCATTAGAAATATATTCCCTCTGATCATGAATTAACTTCAAGGTTCAATCCCCTCTTTAGGTTTCATTCGGGGAAAGCTTCAAACCCTAGCTGTTATTAGACCCTCTGGAGAAAGTACCTTTTCAGTTTTCAATCATCTTTGATGATCTTAGGTTATCTTTAATCAGCCATACAACTGAATACGACCTATGGGTGCAACTTGGGTGGAGTCAGGTTGAGGACGTGTCAAAATTTGAATGGGCTTCTTCAAACCAGGTACCCAACTTGTACCCCTAATACAACCTGATCAGTCCCAGAGGTTGGGGTAACAAATCTTTCACTCTTGGACAAAGCCTGTAATGTAGTTAAATGGAGATACGAAAAAATTAAAAGCCTGATATTTATCAAGTACAACTGGAATATTTGCAACATACTTCTCTCTCTTTTTTTTTTCAACACATTTTGTCATTATTTTCTTTTTATATAATTTTGTTTCATAACCCTTTTTTCTCCTGATTTCTGTTAACTTGTTGCTTTCATGATTATCACTATAAGTTTGATGAAAAGGTGCCAAGGAGTAATCAACAAAATGACTTCCACAAAGATTCCAAGATTAGTAAGAACAACGAATTATTCTATTTCTTGAGTAAAAGGTGGTTTAGAACTTGGCACCTAAGTCTGCCTAAGCCAGAAGTACATGCCTACCTTTATGCCATGAATGCTGGTCCAGGCCAGCTTTTTCTTTTACAGTGTAAAAATCCTGATCTTTCTGAGGTTTAAAACTCAAAATGTTGGTGGAGACCCTGTATCTTATACAAATTCACAACTTTCATTACCAAATCTACTGCTTTACTTAAAATTCATAGAGGGTTAAAGGAATCAAGGTTGCATGTCAATCAATGATGAATTATTTATGTGGGAAAGAAACTAACAAGAGCATGACTGGAGAGTAATTTTTTTTAAACTGGGAGAGATTCTCAACATAATATATGGCACAGTATCTGTTAACAGTTCTATCATGTTTTTGTTTTAATCAAGTAAATGATATGAGGATCATTTCAGTGAACAACTTTGTGCAAAAAGAAAATATTCTAGTAAGAACAAATATAAAATACATTAACTACAAGGAACAAAGAGTAAACATCAATAAAACATTAAAAAGGAGATAGCATTACTTGCATTTGCTTGTAGACATGCAAGGTGAAACTCAAGTCCTTGGCATTCACATTCATGATACTATTGAAAACGTATATATTTGGGGTGACCTTCTGAGTGAGCAACTCCTGCAATAAAATCCAAATGAAGAGAAAGGCAAAGATCTTATTGCAGCTTGAATGCGTAGGAACTTACAATTAAGAAAGTTTTAACACTCAAAGATTTATTGGAGGGGAAACAAATTGTATCCAAAAGTATCCTGTGTATAATTTGAATGATCAAGAAAGTATATGTTTAATAAATTTCAAGAAAGATAGAACATAAACTCTAAATACCTGATTACAATGGTCTTTTGAAAATCAAGGACCAAATGAATGAATAAAGAGCTTTTCATTAATATTGTGTTTGGTGATGACTCCAAGCACATAAAGGTACTGACTCCTAGAGAAAACTATGTTGCCAACTCCAAATACCCTTATTTTTCCATTGCTCTGTTTCTAATTCTGTTACATCTTTATTGCTGTTACAGAATTCTGCTGACATAGTTTCTCATTCTAGTCAATCAATTCCATCTTTTCAACCTTAAATCTCTTAGGAACTTCATTGTTTCCCTATTCTGTAGTGAACCTTTTTTCCCATATGTACGATTTAACAAGATCCAATAACGTGGTTTTGACACTTTGTAGACTATTGTAACAATTCTTTGTTCCTGTAGCAGTCCAATCTCAACCCATTATATTTCTCCTTTCATTTTAACTCCTACTTTTTGCTTCCACAGGAACAATTTGTTTACAGCAATCTGCTGTTGCAATTTCAGCCTCTAAAGCTAATATAAACCTGGAGACAGCACCTGGTTCACTACCAGTCCAGCAACAACTTTTTCCTATTAACCCACAATATTACAACATACACGCAAGAAGAAGAAGAATCACTTGTCACATTTTTTTTCTTTACAATTATATATACAATGATAAACACATACATTTATAGCTTGCAAAACACAAGCTCACACCTAGGTCTTACCGCCCAGAAGGGCAACCTTTATCATGCCAATTTCATATAGACCTACCTCAGCTTTAACTTTCAAGCATCCCAACATAAATGCATGCAGAAGTGCAGAGGCAAAAGTTTAATGTTACAAGTTGCATAAAGCATCAAATTTGATAAGAATATTTATATAATACTTTGTACAAACAATGTTTATGCAAGGTAGAAAACCATCTGGAAAAAGTGTTAGTACTTCATTAACAGTGTACGTGAGAAACAAAGTAAATAACCTTTAGGCCCTCCAAGATTTTATTCTGAAGAAAGTAATCAATTTCATTAAGAAAAGAAACAGGGTGCATGAGAGGATGTACAACTGCAAACAAGAACTCTCTGAAGAGATTTTTGAAGATCATTACCTCATAAATGTATCTAGATTTCAAGTAGTCACCACAATGACCGCAAGCATCAATCATAGCACGCCAAGTATACATGTTTGGACCATTTGAGTTGCACTTGGATGCATCAAACACATTCAAAGCAGACATCAAGTCCCGTTTCTTCCCAAATTCATGAATTGCATAACTGAATATAACATGTGCATGTGGAACAATACATGCATACCTACAGAACCAGAAGAAGCATTAAGGCCATTTAATAACAGCTGAAGTCACAAAAGATCTGTGTATGCTGTACAGACTCACAGTATAGAAAATCACAGAGATTTATCCATGTTTTCTGGGCTGTTTTTGCCAGGAAAGCTTGGCTGTTTGGAAAAAACAGACTGGGCTGTTTGAAAGCTTCCTGCACATTTTTTTTGGGTAACATGATCAATCCAATTTACCCATGACACGTTACCATGGGTTAGTGGTAAAAGAATATTTTCCCCCAATACAAGCAAGGGACTGAGTGGGGTAACGTGCCATACACAAATGCTCCAAACAGCCAAGCTTTCCCCATTTTTGCCTAACAGTAATAAATTTTTACCTAACTATTCTCAAAAGAAAGAAAGAAAGAAAGAAAGAAAGAACTGAAGTGGATGAACTGAATGATCTGAATGATTTCTTGTTTTATGGCTGAAATTGGATTGATCACTGTACTTTCAAATATTTTATTATTTAGTTATTTTATACAGTAAAAGATACGATGTCATTCAGTTCAACCATGTCCGCCATTACCAAACACCCCCTCTAGTTATTCCTTTTTTGCTCATAAAGGCAGCCTGGTCTCTCACTGTGTTTCATTTTCTGCTCATGGGTTGGCTTGGAATATGAGGTTAAGGAGATGCTTAAGGAACTTCAAGACTCCGGATGTTCTAGCACTACTTGACTCTTTGGATGGTGTTTCCACAGAACCTACTAACCCTAACACCAGGATTTGTACCCTAAATTCCTCATGATCATTCTCTTGTGACTCTTTCTTTGCTTCTCCAGCCAGAAACCCTAACCCTACCCTTGTGCATCCTGTGAGTGCCATATGGAAAGGATCAGTGCAGCCAAATGTTATAGCTTTCAGCTAGGAGATTTTTTATGATAAAATTAATACTGGTGATAATCTTCAAAGGAGAAGACTCTTCTAGTATTTCACCCAACATTCAAAATACCGATACACCCCAATACACTGGAAGGAGTGTATTTATACTTTTTACCACAAATTTTTATTTTTTTAGTTTTGTTTTTCAAAATATCAGTTTTTCTATTGTTTAGTCAATAAAAAGAACAGGTTCCTGAAAACACCTTTAAATAGGTATATTGGAATCCCAAAAATACAATACAATACACCCTGTATCGGGCAAATCGTATCAAGATTTCAAACCTTGCTTTTACCCTATCTTTGCCTCTTGTGCAAAGCAAATGATAAAAATACTTTCAACCTGTTAACCTCCCATAACTTTGTTTTTTCCATCTGAAAGTTTTCTTTTCTCTATTTTGGTGCAGGTGGACTCCTCCAAGTGATTTGAAAAGTCTTTTTAGTTCCTATAACTTTGTGTTTCCTCTTTCTTCTCCCCTTTAAGGAAGAAGTACAAGGTTTTGTAGATGCACGAATTGAAGTGTTGTGGTGTGTATGGAAAGAAAGATGTGCAAGGATTTTCAAAGACAAGTCCAGGTATATAGAGGACATCATTGAAAGTGTATCTACCAAAGTTGCACACCATGTTACTGAAAGAATGGTAGGATCCATCTAATGGATGCCATAAAGGTTGCGGAATGGGTGGGCGAATTTCAAAAATTTTCCTACCTTCTCTCAACTGGGAATCRTATTCCCKAAATTTAGAATACAATATTCAAGGATCCTACTTGAACCATAATCAAACCAGATCTGAA